AACAATGCTTAATTGTTTGTTTTTTCTTTACATTTAACGTAATATTTACAAAAAAAAGTTTCGAGATACATATGCTGTCAAATATGTATAATCCAACTGGTCACATTGTAATTCCTGACTTAACATTGTCAATAAGAATGAATTGTTAAATAACTACAAAATCCTTTTGTATCCTACCCCCGATTATATCGAACAATATAAGATATATAGAAATAGAATATGTACTTTACACACATATCAAATATGTCATTGTCTAAACAAACAAGGAATCAAAAAATCAATATCGGTAAATGTAGTGAATATAGAGTAGAGAAATGAAATACGTATTTTACACACATAGCACATGTGTTATTGTCCACGCAAACAAGGATTCAAACAATTGTTCATGTGTCTGTGCGTGTGCGGATAGCATGGTTTAAACTGCTTCATAAAGGAATACGGCATTGACAATTCACTTGCAAACCGAACTTAGACATTGATTCAATCAAGGAAACCACATAATTGTTAGTGATCCTTTGTAGTTTCAACCGAAAAGTATATAGTCGGCTAGATCCCCTTCACTCAGGCAAATACCATAAGTATCATGGCATACAACTGTTTGTAATTCATCGAGTGTGTTTGAAAAGCTAGCACCTACCTAGTCAATAATCAAAAACGGGCTTCAATATTACTTTGTTACTGCAGATTATCTTTGAATTAATGTACAGCAGCCGACACTGGTGCGTAGAATGGAATAATTTCATTATAGTAGATTATTAAGTACTTTGAGTTTGATTACGGTAGCTAGGGCTCTTTTAAAGAAAAACATCTGTATACTGCATAGTATTGATGATACTTTTATCTGTTATCTTTATGTACGTATACCCTATAAACAGTCTTATTCAGAAGGGATATAGTTACGATGCTGTTGTCAAGTCATTAAAGATTGCATTTTTTTAGGATTAATATTGATTCACTCACAGGGTCTTTGCATCGGAAATAAACACATGTATTCTAAAACCAGTTGTTGGCATGATGCGGATTAAGTTCATCTCATTTAATTTATGATGGCATGATACTATATCCCATATAGGGAAGGATTGTGCTTGATTTTAATATGATGAAGACATAATTTTTTGATCAGTTTAATGTCAGTAACTGCTAGTAGTCCTATATTCATTTATGTTAATCATTGTCATTTTGCTTAGTTTCTTATGTTGCCTATTCCAACATCGGACTCGGACTTCCTTTTAACGGAGTTTTTTCTGTGCGTATTGCTTTGTGTTTGATTATTCTACATTGGCTAGATGTATAGGAAGAGGGTTGAGATCTCAGAAAATATGTTTAATCCCGCCGCGTTTATGCGCTTGTCCCAAGTAAGGAACCTTTAGCCTTTGTCTGTCTTGTGTGTGTGTGGTTTTTTTTTTTTATTAAATCTTACTTCATTTATGTGTTTCGGAGTTAAGTGTGGCGTCCATTTCGCCTAACTAGAGTACATTTTTGTTAAGGGGCCAGCTGAAACCCGCCTCCAGGTGCGGGATTTTCCTGCTGCGTTGAAGACCAATTGGTGGCCTTGGGCTGTTTTTTGCTCTTTGGTCGAGTTGTTGTCTCTTTGACACATTCCCCGTTTCCATTCTCAATTCCATCTTATTTTCATCATCTATTATATTACCATTATTTCAAAGCTAAGGGCTTTTCTGGTTCTGATTTACTGTTTGTATGATAGAAAAACAAAGGATATGGGGTATCCATCCATGTATGTACAAATGTACCTTTTTTTAAAAGAGGGGATTGAGATTTAAAAACACTAGTTTAACACAGTCAAATATTCATGTCCATGTCCCTGTCCTTTTTTTTTCTTTCTCCTTTATCGATTTGGAAATTTGTGATTGCCCCAGTAATATTCATTAGATCTATCTTTAATTTGTTTTTTAGCATATATCAAAAAGCTACACAAAGGAATAGATAAACAGCTATGTAGTTTTTTTTTATTTTTTAGAAGTAGCTATTACGAATATGTTTACACTTCTATATTGATGTAATCTGAGGCACATGTGTAACCGTTTTACAGCAGTATATGCAGCTTTGATTTATAGACAAATCAGTTCTGTTCAAAGCATTGTTTAAAATTCATCCACCTAGTAGCCAGTGCGTCGACACTAGCATTTTTTCAATTGCTAAAATTAACATCATCCTGTAATGGGTTATTTAAATGTTCTTAAAAAATGAAGTTGCAACTTTCCCGAAATGCTGTTTTTATACATTTTTGGAGTCTAATGGTCACAGAAGTTTAGTGCAATTGTTCTCTAATTTTTGGTTTCAATAGTACCATATGAAGCCTACTATTCCAGTACAATGCGTCGTGTGCAATAAAAATATATCATACTTTCTTCTTATGGTATTTCATCCGCATCTAAAGCCCACCGGTGGAGGTTTTCCCGGCACACATGTTGTGCGAAGGAAACTCATATCATTTGTTCTTAAGGATGTTTTATTTTCTTTTTCCTAAGCTATTCACAAAACGTTTATGCTCTGCAAGCCTTATATTTTTTTTTCAATATTTCAACCAAATGCAGAAATCTCAAGTACGCTTAAGCTTAAAAATATTTTGAAATTCTTATCATTTTTTTATATTTTTCCATACAGTTTTAAACTTTTTAAAATCTGGTGACATCTTTTTTCTACCCAATGTTTTTCATAGATTTTGAATTGTTATGATTGTCTAAAAACAACCACACAGGCCTATCTTTATTCTTTCAATATTTTAATGAATAGTGCATGTTCTATTGAAAGGACGTCACTTATGGACATTTTGTTATTCTGTATGTTATCCTTAAAAAATTTGCAAGATAATGCTATCTCATGCTATTAAAAGAGTTTATATAGTTCCACCAAAGAAATTTAAACCAGAGTTTAATTCCATTGCAAATTCTTTTTTCAATAACTACAAGGTCAGCAGTTCTCTTTCTTATAGATATTATGGTCTTTCGTTAGTATATATAAATCAAGTTCTTTCATAGAAATACGGAGTAACATAATGATGCATTGTGTATGATCACAAATGAAACCGTCGATACAAAATAATGAATAATTCGGATTGGTGATACAAATTGTGATTACATAAAATATTGAAGATTTGAGTAAGTCTTAAAACTGTTTACATCATAAACCTTCTGATGTTATGAAAATAACAACAATATGATTAAGAAAGTTAACATTATGTATTGTATTACAGTTGAAAAACCAATGATAATTGTGCAATTTGTTATTTTTTTAGGGGTCGTTTTTGCTAACAATGAACTCTGTCATATTTTCTTTGTATTATCACTATCATATCAGACTAAGGAATGATCTTTCTATTTGAAAGTTTTTGTCTATTAATTTCAAGGAGCCGAGTGGTCAACGAAGTTCAGCTATTGTATCACTAGCCTGTCATGATGAGATTGTGAGTTTGAATCCAGCACACGACTCCAATCTTAATTGACTAGTATAGTATTTTTTTCCAACCACAGGTTGGTGGTTCTTCCGGGCACTCCGGCTTCCTCCGCCAATAAAAATTTATCCCACGATATAGCGCGATAGTGCTGAAAGTGGCGTAAAACACCAATCAACCAATGTATTAATATCCAATTCATCAAATTACATAAATATTAAAAAGTAAGATTGTAATGATCTGATGCAAATATGACCTAAGACGGTTTTGGTTATTTTGATAAAGCCCCTTCCATTATTTTTTTAATATATTTTTCTTATTCAAGATTATAGTTTTAATAAATAACAAAATCACTGTACCCATGATGTTCCTTTTTATCCTTGTCCTCGATGAGAAATATATTTTCGAAATGCAAACTGTGTTATTTTTAATGGTCTTCTATTGGTCACTTTTGGTTTAAGTTTGTTTATATTAAGGTCAAGATCTTAGTTGACTGAATTGATTTAAGATTGCAAATAATAATTGATTTCCCAATTGGTGACAATTGTAGCCTTTTTCGAGATACAGACTTTAGAAAGTTGATTTTTAGAACGAAACTTTGCTAGAATTAAAGAAAAGTTATTCGGACAGTATTTATTTTGTAGTCCAAAAAATATATATGTTCCCGTTGCTTTTCTTAACGCAATTTGTACTTATCTCCCTTGCCTACCAATTCTGCACTTAAAAATACGTATCTCGTCACAGCGTTGAAAAATTTTTTAGGGCTAAGGAAATATATTATTTTGCCTTTGGTATAATACAGAGTGGATGAAGTATCTTGTAATAAAACATATCGGCTGGACACAACGACCAATCAGAATTAGCCATACTCCTTATTCGGAATACAATGCTATTTTCATAAAATGGCTGCACCCATAAAATATAATGGTTTATTGTAACCTATACAGTATTTAATATTTCTAGAATCATGCAATTCATAGTGCGTTAGATGCACAAACATATATGCCACACCTAGATCATCCTCAAAACGTTCTCTCATTACTAACTGAATTTTGACCCCAGTTTAAAAATGGAATATTTTTCCCCTGATTTTAGAGTAAATGCGGTACAGTTAAACAAGCTAAGAAGATAATGTTTATCTACTCCCGTGATTCTGTATAGGCCATCAAGTCCTGAATATATTGACCCCAAAACCGATTTTATAAGTAACTGCTACGATGAATTTTGAACAACAATTTTAAATGAAACTATTTTCTTATAAAAGTACATTTTTGAAACAGAGTCTGACTATAGAATTTTAAAATCTCAAAAATGTGGAAATATTTGTATTTTAACATTGAAAGCTATTCTTTAAATTCAAAATTTGATGGCTATTTTATTTTGTTCTACTTTTCAATTCAGGTGAATATCTTAATGTTTAAAGCTGGTCATTTCTGTCAATTATAACTAAATTTGGTAATTTCACTTGGGTCGATATCGTCATGTTTTAAAACCGATTTTTACATCCAAACTCTAGATGTGTACATGTTTTTTGCAAACAAATCAGCAGAAATTCAGAAAAAAACGTGATATTCTCTCCACAGTAATTCAAAAGTCGAGCCCACCCTTGTTCCAACTGTGAAACACAATACAAATATGAAATAGACTATAGTTTAAAAACTCGGTGATCAATAATTTATTTAACACAAAAAAAATACGGTTTCACATCATATAACCCCTACAATTACTGTTTTTTACACTTTTTGAGCATTATGATAAAGAAATGTCGACGCTGAATAGATTGCAAACAACAATTGAATCCCCCATTGGCGACATTTTCGAGATACAGACTTTAGAAAGTTGATTTTTAGAATAAAACTTTGCTAGAATTAAAGAAACATTATTCGGACATTATTTTTTGGTCCAAAATATAGGTTCCCGTTGCTTTTCTTAACGCAATTTTGTACTTATCTCCCTTGCTTTTCAATTCTGCACCTTAAAATACGTATCTCGTCACAGCGAAGAAAAAACTTCTCATGCCCTTTAGGGCTAAGGAAATTATATTATTTTGCCTTTGGTATAATGCAGAGTGGATGAAGTATCTAGTAATAAAACATATCGGCCGCACACAACGACCAATCAGCATTAGCCATACTCTTAATTCTGAATGCCATGTTATCTTCATAAAATGGCTGCGCCCATAAAATCTAATCATATATCATTGCATCAATTTCAGAATGAAAGTTCTCTTTATTTTCCATTGAATTTCTCCAATGCCTTCTAAAATTGAAGTCCATGTAATATTGCTAAGTGTCATGAATTTTAATTAATTTAACAGGCAGAAGGAATTATATATCAAATAAATGAATGCATGTCGTTAACTTGCACATTTGTCACACGGATATGTCATACCTTACCGAACAAGCAATTAAGAGCCAACGGTATTGAAAATTAAATGAAAGAAGTACAACACACATTTTAATACATAGATTCTATTTTTTGCTTCATACTTTATATTCTTTGAAATTACCATGATTCGAATGTAATATATGAGACTTTATCTGACCATTCAGTTCATTAGATGACGTTCTACGAAGTTTAAGTACGCTTGTGCCACAAGTAATTGAATGTCGTCTATCTTTCTGGAACTCGTTTGATTTTATTTTTGGGTCATCATTTTGGAGGTGGTCATGTTGACTATCATACCCCAAGTCTGTTGACAGGCTAAGCATTGATTTTCGAGGAGCGCTACCAAAAATACCACTGGAAAAGTCAAATTCTTCGAATGATCCGGGTTTCTGTACATCATATAAAGAAATACTATTTTTCCTCCTGACTGCTTTCTTCTGAAATAATAATTGGATTGTTCAAATATGTAACCGTAACTAAAACTCTTCAAATTGAACAGTAAAACTGCATAAAATCATTATTTTGTTTCTGCAGCTTACTTAAATATCTAAAGTTTTAAGATATGTAGTATAGATAACAAACTTACTAATATGCCATGGACATTTGTTCTCAATGTTCAAACTCGTAACAAACAAAAAAACACAATGTACCGTTAATCTGGTTACAATTCACATACTGTAGGGAATTGAGAATCTGAGTAATACTTAAACAAACGTGTCATAAAACGTATTGCGCCGATCAGATCGTAGCAAATAGAACCTTCATTAAAAAAGACATATTTTTTTTCAGAAAGTAGTGTAAAGGTAGTATTCTAATGTAGAAAAAACAAAATAAGCAAATCAGAATATAATGCATTCTAGAAAATATATTCAAAGATGTACATCAAAATGTTGTGATTGGTAAACAACGACCAATGACGTGACGTTCAATTGCATTTCGGGTACGACCAATGAACATTTCAATAGTCTTTAGATTTCGAAATGGCGATTTCGGATATACACAGAAAAATATTGAGAAAAAAAACAGTTCGAATTGCGTGAACTCAACACGGATTTAAAGACGACCCATATATATGTTATGCATGCAGGTATAATTAAAGATAAATTAATGTTTGAAATCTAAATTTTGGTGAATGGGAAGGCATTTGAAGATGACATGGATACTTTGTAAGACAAAGGTAAAATCTATATTATTATTATTATTATTATTTGTAGTGGTGGCTACATGAAGTTTATACATCTCAGAATGGGAAATGTAAGTTATAAAATTCAAGTGTTAATATTTGGAGATTATATACCTGGAGAGGCGAATCAAACTCACTGTCAGGTAAAACTTGAGACATTGTTTCTGTGTTTAAGTTTTCATTCTTGTACGGCAGGTTCCAGGATCTTCTGAAATATTAAATGCTTAATGGAACTATGTTATTTATTAAGCGGCAGTAGTCGACCGATGTTCAGATCGAGGAAATCGAGGAAATAGAGACAATTAAGGTAACAAACAAACTCCGGGAGAATTACATGAAGTCGAAAAGAAGAGAGACAAGCTACATTTGAATATCTAATATTTTTTTCAGCTATTATGTTTTATACACAAAGGTTTATTAGCAAATGCACTTAATACTCAGAAAATCAAATCAAGCAAATTATATTATTTAATTTGTGTCATTGTTAAACAATCATTTCCCTCCAATTATGTATTTGTTTAGCAATAATACACTCAAGCAAACATAAAAGTAATATAATGCCCTTATCATAAATAACATATTATAATGTAATAACACTAATAAAACCAATGATCCCTTATTACCGGTACCATATTATATCGTACAACAGAAGCTGATTATCAGTAAATTGGTTGTTATAATATTTATGCATATAAAAACATTACATCAACATTTTGATATGCGGAATTTTTTGTTGGTTAATATTACATCCATACCTATTTTTATACATACTAGCAATCCGAGTCACTGACTTCCGCTTAAAATTTTCTTTTGACTCTCCAGTTGATCTCTTGTCGTCATCACTCTCATTCTGATTATCGGTTTGCATAGATTCCTTATTTTTATCTTTGCTTGAGTTTTCTTTTGGAAAACAATCGATGCTTCTTTCCCTCGAATGCTTATGAAATATAATGTAAGATCCTGTATTTGCTTGCAAGCTTTGAGTGTCATCTCCCTGTTCACTGGTACATGCTGACGGGGATTGTCTTTCAGCAAAAGAATCATGCATCTTTTCGTTTGGCATAACTAGATGAGATGAGCCTCCATCTGCAACTGTTGAATCTATGCTTTCTTTTGAAGACATTTCGCTGGTTTCAGGAACATCGCTAAATTCATGCCCGTTTGTGATATATGCTCTACTTAAATGGTGATCGTTGGGGATATGAAACATGGACTTCGACTGATCTAATCTGTTTTGATCAGTGTTGAACGAATCTAAATCGATATCAAGAATATTATCAAGGGATCGACATAAACGTCGATTTAGCTCGGATATTTCTTCAGTAGGTTTTTTGTCTGTCACCGAACCTTTTCTTGATATCTTTTTTATGATTTTTGCAGACGGTGAAAAACGTCTTCGTGACATTTTTGGGAGATGAGTGCCATCATTATTATCTAATTCTAAATTAAGGATAAGTTCTGAGACATAGTGCAACTTTTTGTCACTGCTCATTGACCTTGAAGATGTCAACTTTTGAATAAACTGTACAACATTGTCAAGATCACTATTATTGACTAGTCGCGATGAATGGTTAAGAGAAAATTCACTTGAACATTTATATTTTGATTTCCCAAGCCCTTGGCTGTCAAAAGAATTTAGTAACTGTTTATCGGTATCAGCTGATGACGTTCGACGCAACATCTGATGCTGTCGCTGTGTTCTATTTTCCATTACAGAAGCTGCTTCACGTCGATGGAGTCGTGGCCTATCTAGATTACTATATACCTTGCCAGTTCGCCTTTTCGGCACAATATACCCATGCCGAAACTTTCTACTAGACATTAAGTTCACAGATTCCAGTTGGTCGTCCTCTTCTTCGGTTAAAGGTAGTTCACCAGTGTTTGACATACTCTCTATTTTCCAATCATACACGTGACACAGTAAATTAGCCTCAAGTCTGTTACCCCTTAATATTGATATCAATAAACGCAACCTTAAATGTAAAGAATTAATAACAATGGTTAATACTATATTCAACATACACATATATATGTCTATATAAAATAAGGGCAAAGCAATTGACATTGTAGATATTTGGGTAGTTTTATATTTTATGAGGAAATAGCTATGGTTATTTTTTCTGGTCTTGCAACAAGGATTTGACATGTACTTCATTCGGAAAGGTTTAGGCTGTTTTCAATAATTTTCTTGTCTGAAGGGAATTAATCATAATGGAATGCTTTAGATATGTATGTCTTTTGTGCATTTACATTTCCACAAACCTACAATACGATCGCTTGCTCTCGTTTCGTCGTACTTTTTTGTTAAATGATATTAACCGTTTTTATCCTTGGAACATGCAAACCAACCGTAATTTTCATCAAAATTAATGTCAAATTTAATGCTAATTTCAATGTTGAATACGGATCAGGACATTTGTCGAGACATTGCCCCTTTGAATTTCAGAAACCATGTCTTATTTAGGAAAACGTTTTTGAATGAATGATTTTTTAATTATAAAAAATCAAATTCCCTCTCATTCATCAGGATGTAAACATGTCATATTTAATCCTCTAATAATATAAATTAAGTTTTGTCCGAATAACAATTTAACAGATCAATCAAAATAACTGATATTGGATGGTCGTTATTCATTTATCTCGCAGACTATGTGTATGTCCTGTTGTGTGAGCGGACTACGGCAAAACACTACAACAGTAAATTTATCTGTCATTTCGAATATTGATTTTTACAATTAAATTGAACTTGAAACATGAAAGAAGCCTTTTCTTCAACTTGTGTCTTGGTGCAAGTTAATTGGATTATTCAAATATGATTCTCTTATTAATATTTATGATTTATTCAAAAGCATCGGTTTATTCATAAAATTGCCGACAAGAGCATGGATAGTCTATTGTTTTATACAATGCCTTGCGGAAATTTTCACATTAATTTCATTTGTTTGTGATCAAGATATAAAGTTCATATCGAATCTTATATTGGATGCTTCGCCACTTAATATCTAAAATCTGACCAGCGGGAAGATTTTCTCATAAGCAATTCTCAGCTTACACACAGGTATATTATATAATTGTCAATATAAACTGAATACAAATGAAAGATTGTTTTTGAAAACAAAAGAAAAACAGTTCATTCTGATAAATAAATTTCATTTTGCATACATTAGGCTCTCTGATGGTGGATTGGGAGACTTACTGAAAAACACTATTGACATTGGTGGATTGAGAGACTTACTAAAAAACACTATTGACATTGGTGGATTGGGAGACTTACTAAAACACTATTGACACTAAATACATTTAACAGTTATCGTCGAGTAAAAAAGATAGCAATGAACAATGAATTTAAGACATGGGCAGATGTAGTATGATCATCGTACTAGTCCATAGACAAAACCGTGTTCTGACTAATAGATATGCTTATAAATTCAAATTGTTTGTGTGTTGCTTCATCGGTAATGTTATAAACTAATGTAAGTGTAGGTATTTATTGACATAACATTTGAACTATTATGTTCAACCTATAAAGTTCTAAAGAAGACCGGGGATAAATATCAAAGGCAAATCGGCTAGGTTTATGGTCTGGTCATGCTTCTGTACGATAAAGGGATAGGGAGAATTCCCTGATTGTACGTTCATATGTAGTCATATTTATTGGTCACAACCCATGTGATATGCAGCTTTAAAATTTACACTTGATATAAAGATGTTCATCATAGTATTTAATTGTATGAAAAAACTTCGAATTTTAAAAAAATATGTAACGAAAGCCAATTAATTCAGACTCACTGATTCCCCTCCTCTAACCATACAAGGATTTGCAAAGTGTTTGCTAATGGAAATTCCTAAAATCTTCGAATCGAAAAGTAGAAGAAGATGTACAGTAACATTATGTTAGAACGACATTGTGAAAGATTTATTGAATTTCAGTATCTGGTTAAGGATAAGTTAAAGTAACCGTTTGTCTATTCATTTTTTACGTATATCAAAGAACAAAATAAACAAATCCAGATCAAATATTAAAATATGAAGGACACATTGCATGCATTGTGTAATAAAAATTTATATTTTAAAAGTTCATTAGAAATCCAGTATCTTTTAAGAAAAGTTTCGGATACTAGATGACCACCTTATTCTTTTTTTAATGCCATGCATTTTGCACGAAGACCAAAGATTGAATAAAAAACCCTGCGCAACGATAATAAGAACTCAAATATGCCGAAAATTGCATTGAAATATAGTTCCTGATAACGAGAAATTAGGAGATAGTGGGTAAATGAATGCATAGTTATGTATTAATCTTAGCTGATGCTCTATGTGATTACGTACGGAATTGACATTCAATAATTCATGTCAATTCTTTCACTTCATTTTCAAAATTTCTTGCTTGATTGTTTTCTTCAATGAAAATTTATTTCTTGCCATTACATGACAGCAGTTGTGTTATTTTAGGGAAGTGTTTTATCGATAAATATCAGTATCAAATGGTGGATTATTTGCATCGTTTGAGCAAGATGACTTGATGACTAAGTTTGCATACTTCGACCCATTACTCGAACTGTGCTATGTATTTTATACACACTTTTGTCTTGAGTATACCTGAGGAAGGTAATTAAAATAATCATGTCAATTTGACTGAAATTGAAATCATATTTTATCTCCGTTTCTGTAAGTATTTTGACAACATATGATTTATCAATCAAGAAAGTCTGCACGTCAACCCTACATATTAAATTTATGCAAGTTGAATGGATATCAAACAAGGAGACAACTATCCACCAAAGACCAATAAATAAGATATGTGCAGCCAACTGTCATTGTCCGGCCTGCAACAATGAGCGAAACTCGTTCAGAATGATAATTTATAACAGGCCTTTAAAGAAAAAGGAAAACAATTTGATAGAAAAAACCAACGTCCTGATATCAGGATATATTAGAAGTAAATCAATTGGCGAAGGCAGCAAACAATGACACAAATTGTAATATAATTATAGATAGGTCATTATAAAGTTCGACCACTCACTCGATCAAATCTTTAGAACTTTTAATTTAAAAGTTGTAAAATTTTAGACTTCTTTATGCCAGACGCGCGTATCGTTAACATCAGCCTTATGAAATGGCGCCCTCGACTCCTCATAGAACATTTTATTATTTTCAACTTTTTCTTATTCGTGACGCTAGCTCCGCATTTCGTAGACAATAAGAAGAGGAAATGAATGTCATGCCAGTAATTGTTTTGTAGACCGTATAATAGTTTCAACACACATATTTCAGCCGCACTTGCATGTCCCCGATTCGGACTACGACAGGCAATTTTCAGGAATTTCCTTAGGTTGTATAAAAATGATTTCATCAGAAGTAAAAACTCTTCATTGTCCAAGGTCAAAAAGAGGGGAGTGTTGAGCGTTCACAAACATGCTTAACATCGCCAAATTCTTTATATACATGTACCAAGTCAAGAGCTTGTATTTCAATGGTAGTTTTGGTTGCTGTCTGTCATATTTGTTTTTCACTATAATAACACCATTCTCTGGTTGTATTTTTGTTTTAAATTTGTTTACCCTTTTTGGAAACTTACAACCCAGAATATTTGAAATCATAAACAATTATACCTGTCAGCTAGTAGTTGTGTCTGGTTGACAGTTGTTCGATCGACAATGTCGGGTATGTTTACATCAATGTGAGCTATATGATCATCACGAGGTGCAGGATGCTTTCGGAGAAAAACCTGTACTGAATTTCTCCATCCAGGCGGCGTGCTTAAAATGTTGCTGTCACCATTAGCAGCTCGGCTACATAGCGATGTCGGAATAATGTCGATAGCTTTCTTGTACCATAAAAGTGCCTGTAGAATATATCAATTGTATTCTATAGACCTATTTCATTATGCCAATGGTAAAGCAATTGTTTGGCGGTATTGGCATCTATGAGCTTGCTTTGGGAGGAAAAAGATGCCTCAATGCAACAACTATAAAAACTTTGAAAGTAGGGATGATTATCGAATATCAATTTTAGAGAAATGGAAATGGTAATCGTATGAAAGGCACTAAATCATGCACGTTCTATGTTTATTTAGCTTAAAATAGAAATATCATAAGATAAGAAGTTTAAGATAAAAATATGAAGGTAAAATAATCGACGTATTGACCAGATGCTTAGTTGTTATCTCTCAACATAATACACAATAAACATATACTAGTCATATATGCATCATCAGACTACGTACATACTGTAAACCAACTTATTTTCAATTTTAGTTTCTTGTGTACAATTTGGAGTTTAGTATGGCGTTCATTATCACTGAACTTGTATATATATTTGTTTAGGGGCCAGCTGAAGGACGCCTCCGGGTGCGGGAATTTCTCGCTGCATTGAAGACCTGTTGGTGACCTTCTGCTGTTGTCTGTTCTATGGTCGGGTTGTTGTCTCTTTGACACATTCCCCATTTCCATTCTCAGTTTTATTATTTTCGCGGATACTTTATTTCGCGTTAAACCCTTTCTAGTATATTTCGCGGCTATTTAATTTCGCGATTTTCTAATTTACTTGATGAAGTTTAATAAGGAAAGATCTAAGTTTTACATATTTGCGTTATTTTTCTACTCGCGAAAGTCGCGAAAATAAATCGCTCGCAAAATTAAGTTGGTGTACAGTATTTGAAATTTGACTGTTTCATAGCAATATAAGAGTTATAATGGATATTTTCGTAGTTGTTATATTATATGCTTTCTAGACTAGTATAATCTCTAGTGTATTTAGTACATGTATACCTTAACTGAAACGTAACTATTTAATATATAACTTTTATTTGCCTAAATTTCTAATTCATTTTAAAGAAAAGAAGTTTTCAATAATACATGGAAATTTAAAGGTAGAGATAATAAAAAAACAAATACAAAGACCATTATTGTGTTAAATCAATGCACAGCTATTTTTAAAATTGAATTTGATGCCTAATTGGCAGAAGGGTATTTAATTATGAAATCTGTTAACAAAGTAGTTCATGTGTAAATTTGTCACATGATCTGCTTTAATCATTACTTTAAATGTTATCATATATCCAAATTACATCAAATGCTTTCATTCTGCAGTTGGAAGTTATGGCTTTGGTCATAATGTTATATTTGATTGTTTATAAAATATCAATTATTAAACAATAAAACAAAGTCCAAGCTCTCGTGTTAAAATTTAAATGTCAATCGCCATAAAAATCTCCCCAAAGAAGGAATTGATGGACAATTTATGGAAACAAATAAGTCAAAATGCTTAAAATAAATAATGAACGTGCATTCTTAAATGATGAATGAGAATTTGAAGCAATATCATGACGCACAACATAACGTAGTTTTTCAAATAGGAAGCAAAATAGAGGCGGAAGATACTAAAGTGGAATTTCTTTTAGTTTTCAATAAGTTAACTTTCTTAATAGTCTGCTTCAAAAGAAATCCAACAGTCTTAATTAAAGATAAACAGAGTGCAGCATGTAAGAATGCATAATATGTAAGAGTGCATCATGGAAACATTAGTGTCAGTAAGATTCTTTTCGGAGAAGTTGGAAAGGGACGAATATACACTTGAATTGCTTCGTTTTCCTTTGAACAAATAAATGTTTTTGTAACAATTAGATAATTTTGAGTAACTTTTCGATTGATTGATTGATTGATTGATTGATTGATTGATTGATTGGTGTTGCACGCCAATTTCAGTACTATTAGCTATTTCGTGGCGGCCGGTTTTTATTGGTGGAGGAAGCCGGTGTACCGGAGAAAACTGCCGACCTTCGGTAGGAAAACTAGCAATCTTAGTCAATTAAGATTGAAGTCGAACGCACCTGCCAAGTGAAGGACTCGAACTTACAACCTCAGTGTAGTCATTTTTCGACTCGTTTGCCATATCTCGAACATTTGTAACTTACCTCCTCACTTCGTGGTTTCAATCAAAACCAGCAGTTTGTTTTACATAATACCACATCAAAACAATATATTACCTTATTCAAATATAATTCAACTAAATCAACAAAAACTATCTTTTTTATTAACCTTAACATTACTTCGACAATATTAGTTATTCTTTCAGAAGTTGACAATGCCAAAATTAAAAAAAGATAAACATGCAATTATCCAATTTCAATATCGCTATTTGCGCGGGTGTCTGGAATAAATTTGAACTGTTCGACAAATATAAAAAAAACACGATTTAAACATTATTGTACTTGCTCTTAGTTAAGGACCTCGTAAGTGATTGTGTGCGGTAAATGTGTTTGTTGTAAATAGTTCGTATTGATGGCATATCTCTATTCGTCTTTAAATTATTAACAACTTGTTTCAAGTCGAGACGTTTTAAATGTTGCCATAGGGTTTTTACAGTTTTGCATCAATAAAGTCGTTTACCTTTAGTAGTAATATAATTGCATGTACCTAGTCAGGAATATGACAGGGTTTTATTCATTCGTTCCGTCGGTTGATATTGTGAAGCGTTTGATTTTGTCAGGTTTTATATTTTTATGGACTTTCCTCTTTTTGAATTTACCTAGGAGTTCGGTATTTTTGTTAATACTTTTTTATAATATGAATAAGTACATACCTTTTCATACACGAGAAAAAAGACGTGCATTTCTACATAAATCTGATTTATTTCATTAAGCTGAGTGGCAAAGGGGTGGATCGTATTTGTCAGTCTTTCGACAATAGTTTTGATGCCATCTTGTTGAGAAATATCTCTCACGTCCATTCGTTGCAGTGTTTCCAAAATTCCGGTAGCATCTGCTATTATTTCCTAAAGTAACATTTTGAATATTGTGTTAGATTATGGTAAAAATAATTTGTAATCAAAATTGCATGAACATATTCGTGTACCCATTATTGTTGATTATCTTTGGTTATTATTTATTTTTCATGTTCTTAGTTTACAGCTGTACTTCAATTGAGAACGCATCTTCTATTGTACAATCTTAAAAAGTGCATTTTAACTACCGTCATGTTTTCTTCTTTTTTTCCATATAGTTGTTTGCCATTGATAGTTGTTTTAACAAAATTCGGAATAGTAAAATACATGTAAGTACAGACAGCTGCTATAAATATGAGCAAATTTCAGAGCGAATAATTGAAAATGGTATATCAGTGGTGACGTATCATATCATTCCTCGACATTTTTGGGGATTCCTGTTGTCAGTTTTACGAATAATTTACTAAAAGATTTGAATTGTTTCCCTAAATAAGCCCTGATAAAAACTTCATTCGCAACAGAATGCAATTCAGTAGAAATTAATCTTTAATTGTAGCATCAAGTGAAGAATTTATTTGCCATTATGATTCTGGTCTATTCACAGTGTCTCTCATTACTTGATGTTGATACGTCATGTATCTTAGGATATATATTATCTTAAGCTTACGAATGATATTCATGCCTATCAAACGTACCTTCGCCGGGTCATACAGTAAGGATTTAAAATGAGTTCTGTAGAGTTCTGCTTGACTAAGATTTGTGCCTATGTTAGGATGTTGTACCATCAAAGGCCAGTACCTTTCTGTTATTTCCATACATAACTGAAACAAATCAAATATAGCATAATAGGTGTAATACCACCCACCATTGTTTCCCCTATTAGTCTTTGTTAAATTTGTACTTTTCAAAACATTGTGCAGAATTTATCTTTGTTTCAAATAAAGAAATACTGGGCATGAGTAAAGTTTTATCCTGTCCAGTACTACAAACAAAATTTCACATAACATTTCATTGCATATAAGAAAATAACTATCACTAGAAGTTAACCAATCAAATGTACACCCCTTTTTTCCTGTGTACAAGCTTGAGTAGCCATGTAACCTCAAGTTTCCAAAATATTCTATATAACACCAAATAAAAAAAGAATGGTGCTTTGAAACACCCCAGATATGTTTATGACTCATATTTTTTTTATTTCAATGAAATATAGGATTAATTTCCTAAAACTATCAAATACAAGGGAATATCTTTTTTCGATCCTTTTTCGTATGCAACCGGATGTGAGGTACAATGATTTGGTGGTATTACACCTATTACATATTATGTAATTTTTTTGCATTTTACAATTACACTTTCAAGCACTATGGTACAAAAGGTCACAAGATACCAAAGGAACAATAAAAACACGCAATGGCAAAACACATACAACGATGAAGACAGGACAACAATACACAAAACAATACATTACATTACTACGTTAATATTTTTGTTTTTTTGACTGTGTATTTGTCTTTCCCCGTATTGTCTCATGATTAACTCATATACCCCCGTGAACTTGAGAATAAGGGTATAACCGATACTAGAAGTTCTGCTTCATATGTTGATCTAGTCCTCAATATTGACATACTAGAAGATGGACGACTTCAAACTAAACTTTATGACAAAAGTGATGATTTCGACTTTCCAATTCTCACCTTCCTATTGCTCAGCGGTAACATACCCTCATCTCCATCATATGGCGTCAATTTATACGTTATGCTAGTGTATTTTCACACTGTGCGGACTTTATTAACAGGGATGTGCTCCACAAAAAATGATCCAACAGTATTATGAGGATAAAGGAGTGAAATCGCCACTAAATACGTTTTACAATCATCATCACGATTTGATTGACCGATGCGATATGTCTATAGAAATAAGAAGATGTGGTATGAGTTCCAGACTCTTTTAAGACATGTTTTCGCGGTTTTGGACTTTTGGATACCAAAAATGTCGTATGATTTGTAATTTTACCAATTTCTTTTTTATTGTTACATGTTGTGGATTCGCATGGCGGGTGATGCACGAATAGCAGAAAGGCTTACCATGTCGACACAACCGGTCACGCTTCATTTGGAGTTCTTTGTGTTTGATGTATCCACTTAATTTCGTAATTTTGAACATGAATAAACTACTGCTGCCTACATTTACATCAGAGTAGAATAAACTGTTTATTTTTATGTCGGTGCGTGCAGATGAATTTACCATGAGGTAAACGCTTTCAGAATCATGTATTGTAATGAGAACATGTGATTACATTAAACTATATTGTTAAAAACGATTTGAAATTGGAACAATTTTTAATGCTAAAGATTTAATTTATTTTAGTCTATAAATTTTATATATGTATACTTGTCATGTATATATGTATCAAACAGTGAAACCAGTAGGAGATTAGACAGAACATTTCCGATGATTCTAACAAACGAAAATTGGACGGACGGACGGAAAGACGGAAGGACGGTCAAGGGTAACACTTAATGTCCCGATAACTTACAGAGGGGGCATAAAAACTGGTCGGGGGAATTATCAATTAGCTAAAACAGAATTATTACCTTGTCTGCTTCTTCTTTCTTCTCCTTCAAGCTGATTTGTTTTCTTATTCCTTCATCAACTGACCTCCAAATAACCTCTAATTCTACTTGTGTTGAAGAGAGATCTGTAAATGCATTTCTGATCTGCGTTACTATTTGTGTTCTTAGTGTTGGGTGAACATTTGAGATTGGACTGTCCTCGTCTGGATCATCAAGGTGATGTAAAGTCTGTTTGCATTTTTCAACTGTTAAATCTATATCACTGTGTCTGCATATTCATGGAAAACACAAAGTTATGTACGTAAATGCATGAAAGTTAACCGTGATTTAATCAAATATCTATCAATAAAACTGCTATCCTATCCTGTGTTCGTTATAGTAGGCGAGGGAACAATAAAACACAAGAATTTGACCACCTTTTCTATATTCTTTAAATCCCCAAATTAATGACTTCCCATAGTGTAATTACTGAATCACACAGGCCAAATACAATATATCAAATATTTCTGCAAAACCTGCCAAAATAGCTTCATTTTGAGATCTCGATATTGATATATTTAGATATGAGACCATAAAAGATGTCTTATATAAAGATGTATGTTATCAGTAGCAAATTATCAAATTCTTCAAACTTCTGTTCTATTTTAATGCTATTGACACGAAGGAATATCCGGTTGTGACATTTGAACTAAAGGTATAGTTAACATATGGTGTTAAAATAAACCAACCTATATGTACTCCTCATTTATGACCACAAGTCCGTCACTCATCGGGTTTTTGACAAATGTAAGTATCATGCAGGACAAAACATAAAGCTTGGTGCGTTAAACAATTTGGTTTGGGTACGCTACTCCTAACTGTTTATTTTTACTTTTGCCAGACAATAATCGTATTCCATTCCCCTCTTGAAAGTTTCCTCGTACACATGGGGAAAAGTAATATGAAAAAAAAGGGTAATCAATAATCTAAAGTAAAAAGACACCATGTCGTAAACTCTTGAAAAAAGCATTACGATTCATCTGTTTGTGCCATACTGAGTGTCACGTTTTCATTTCTTTCAATTTAGTAATTCCTGTTATCCGAAGAAATATATCTTTAAAATATTGTGCACATATATGACATTTTCGTAACATTTTTGCAGCAACTATGAGTTATATCTTCTTGATATATGGCCCCATGCTTCATCTGTTCTTTCGTTGTTCTAAAACTAATGTATTTAGAATTCTAGATGTTTTACTGTAATATCAATATTATGAATGTATGAAGTGGTTTGGATTTATTAGTGCTGTGCGGTTTTTAATACTTTTTTAATACATTAAGTTTTCCTTTGTCCGTTAAAGAATCTGCTGTTACTTTCAGATCTGTGATAACCGCTATTGAGTTAATTCTCAATATGTCTAGACACGGGGATATTTTTTAATTGTTTATTTTTAATGTCTAATGGTGACCTTTTAAAATCTATTTTACATTCGTAAATAGTTTTTCATTGTTGTCTTGTTTACGTTAACGTTCTGTTAATTTGTAAAAGGCTTTTATAAATGTTTCATATTTTATATGGTATTCTATGAATCAGTATGACTAAACGTTCAGTAAAGTCAGTGTTTGATTGTACTCTATGAAAAAATGCATCAACAAATGGTATACAGAATGAATAACAAAATCAGCTTACGATAAAAACTGAAATACGCTTAATACATATAACGGATGCGGAGTCTTGTATTTAATTCATTTTTTGATGAATAGCGTTTAATTATTTGAAAATTAATCTACTTGATTCTTTTTATTGCTTTACTATGCCTGCATTGGATTGTTTTACAAGGATAGGCTTTGTCGACTCTCATCATTTATTTAGAGCAAAATGTGATAACATGGCACTGTGATGTAGAATTCATACAACACAGTCTTACATTTAATGTACAAACAAAAACGAAATTGGGGTCACGTTATTTCATAAAGCTAAATTGCTTGTTTCTTTATTATTATGAGGCTGACTTCATACAGGAACTTCTTAGGAAGAAAGATAAGAAGTTAGCAATATCCTTTAACTTTACGTTCCGCTATATTGATGATGTTCTCTCACTAAATAATACAAAATTTGGTGACTTTGTTGAACGAATCTATCCCATCGAACTAGAGATAAAAGATACTACAGATACAGTTAAGTCTGCCTCATATCTTGACTTACATCTAGAAATTGACCATGAGGGTCGGTTGAAAACAAAACTTTACGACGAAAGAGATGATTTCAGCTTCCCGATTGTGAACTTTCCATTTCTATGTAGCAACATTCCAGCAGCGCCTGCATACGGAGTATATATCTCCCAATTGATACGATATTCCCGGGCTTGTATTTCCTATCATGATTTCCTTGAAAGAGGATTGCTGCTCACAAGGAAGCTATTAAACCAAGAGTTCCAAATGGTGAAGTTGAAATCATCCCTTCGTAAATTTTACGGACTCCATCACGAGTTGGTTGACCGTTATGGAATAACCGTTTCACAGACGATATTGGATATGTTCCTTATGTCGTAACTACAAGACCCTTCCCTTTTCACGAATGTGACCTATCGAATTAGACTATTTACCGGATTTGTAATAACATAAGCAACACGACGGGTGCCACATGTGGAGCAGGATCTGCTTACCCTTCCGGAGCACCTGAGATCACCCCCAGTTTTTGGTGGGGTTCGTGTTGCTTAGTCTTTAGTTTTCTATGTTGTGTCATCTGTATTATTATTTGTCTGTTTGTCTTTTTATTTTTGGCCATGGCGTTGTCAGTTTGTTTTCGATCTTTGAGTTTGACTGTCCCTCTGGTATCTTTCGTCCCTCTTTTGTGTTAAATGAATTTGCATTTTTAGTTAGATATTGCAAAACAGTTTATACTAACAAAGTGTTATTCAATATATATTTTCCTTATAGGCATTCTTGTTTTACGGAGACTTTATTTGTTTCAAAATAAGATTTAAGGACTGTACTGGTGGAGGACCAGTCACTGTTACCTTTCATTGTAATACGATGCGTAAATACGATATGCTACTGGAATCTGCAGACACGTTTTTGTATTGCAATTTTTAAACCTTGTTTGGTCCGATTACGATAGTGAAATGTTTTAAGAGCTTTGAAAGCTTTGTGTCAATACATGCCTCTCATCGTGGTGACATACTAGTGCTCAATTTTCGGAAAACCTGCCTTTTTTACAAAGCAAATATTGGTTACCTCTGAAAACAAATTTCTGTCAAAAAGTTCGTGAATCTCAAAAAAACTTATTCGCCTTTTCAATACAAGTAACTTGTTTAATTTTAAGGGAAACAAATTCACAAATTCATACATTTTTGTAAAAAAGGGAAAATGAAATTCTGCGACTCTTTTCACAAAACATTTTAAGAGGAAAAATACTCGTAAGTCATACACAATTCAGTATAACTTACGATCAATTTTAATCGTAAGATTTTTGTGAAAAGAGTCGCTGAATAGTAATGATCGCAATGACGATGTTTTTAGTATTTCACCTCCTTCTATTCTTTCGTGACTTTAGCAAAACATGTAATGGTGAATACTATGGCAAAAACCGAAAATGGTGTCAAATGCTAAATTATCGAGTTGCTCAATGTTCTGTAATTACAGCTGTATGTCTTCTGTGTTACTAAGTTTACTCCTAACAGAGTTGATATACTACATAAAAAAATAAAGAGCTAGTATTGTTCATCCGACTACTAAGTTGTCGAATTTATAGTAATGTGCAGAATTCTATGAATATCAATTTTATGTGCTTTCTATACAAATGAGCATCTATTTTGAAAGAATTAATTCGGTAATATTTCAGAGTATAAAAGAATTTAATGCTTTATTTTTTCGATTTTCGTTTATATTTCAACGAGCCAAAGTTGTATGCAAACTTGTACCAAAATCTGTGACATAGCCAATTTACTGTACATTGACCTTCATTATTTGTTTATTTTAATAGTTAGTATCTTAGACAAGTAATAATAAGCCTCCCAACTAAACTAGCTTGATCAGAGAATGACTATGTTAAAGACAATGACATGAAAATTGTCTGTTTTTTTAAAAAGATTACACCACTTCTTCACAAAAATCATGCATTTTGCCCTCTTATGTCAGTTTTTACCGTCTCCCTTAAAGTAAGGGAAAAAGAAGCGCATGATGATTGATTGATTTATTGATTTGTAGATAGTTGTTTGCTTAACGCCGAGTTGCGACTTTTTCTGGCAGATTGAGGTCCAAAATAAATTAAAACATAAATCCATAATATAGGTTATGTAAAGCGAGTTCACCTAAATGAAGAGCAGGACATTGGACTTGTCAAAGAGGGTATGTTTCGGAGGAGCAGACATTTTGCAGTGCAACACCTACGGACAAATCAAAGGACGTTTGAAAAGATTCTTAAACGCTCAGGAAGCGTGGTACTTTACCGACACGAGGCATCAGATATAACTTCCCCGTTTAGATCGTACCTGGGTGCGTATTTTTCCTTCCCGCATTTTCTTGAAAATTCTATGCAAGTCGTATAATTTGTTTTCTTTCTTTTATGGTTAGAATATGAAAACTTAATCACAACTTTATCAATTATTGCCATTTGTATTTTTGAATGATTGAATTGTGTATATACTAGTAATATATATTGTATTTTAATGTATGAATGTTAACTGTATACATTTATTTTGTTTGAGGGCCTCAATGAAAATTAGACTAGTTCTAATTGAGTTACCCTCTTTAAATAAAGAATTTATTATTATTATTATTATTATTATTATTATTATTATTATTATTATTATACCCTGAAGTTCTTGCTGCTAGAAGACGTTTGCAGTTTTACGACTTTAAACAGCTCACACGTTTTTGACGACAAATTACGACAAATCCGTTAGTGAAGAGACGTGTTGAAATGACATGTATTGATTAATATGTATACATTGTGGGAAATGTATTGATCATCATTACAATAAAAGTTTCCTTAGTAAAACGCTTCAAATGCATAAAATTTATAAAGTGTTCTTTTAATTTTTAATCTACGTACAAGATCAGAAAAAAACAATGTGCTAACATGAGACGAAATAAATAAGGAAAATATATAGCAATGAGAGTGATACGAAACATAAAGGAACTGCGTTTCTCGTTTTTATATAGATTAGACCGTTGGTTTTTCCGTCTGAATGGTTTTACACTAGTAATTTTTTGGGGCCCTTTATAGTTTGCTGTTCGGTGTGAGCCAATGCTCCGTGTTGAAGGCCGTACCTTGACCTATAATGGTTTACTTTTATAAATTGTAACTTGGATGGAGAGTTGTCTCATTGGCACTCATACCACATCTTCCTATATCTACCGGTATACGAGACAAAAGCAACACGCACAACAATTAAACTACTAATGAATGAAATGACCATGCAGACGTTTTACAATTTGCTTACGAATAGAGAAATGCTATGAAAGAAAGATGAAAGTAAAAAGGGATATGAATCTTAGCTAAGTTTAACTGAAACAAATTTTATATAGTTGAATGTGCAATTGACCACCAATTGAAATTAAAAGTTTCTTTTTTTTTATTTTTCAAAAATGTTATATATTTACAAACTATTTTGTCATCTTACAGAAATCAGGAAACCCCACGAAAATGGCTATTGGAACTACTCACTAAATATAACACTATCTTTTATTCTGAAAATTTGCAACAACACCACTTACCGTATCAATGAATTGAACTGCTCTTCAAGTTCACAGTGGAGTGTCTTTAGCAGATCAGCTGTGTGACTGATTGTATCATAATCTGCCATTAACAGAGCCTTGTCTTTGACACCATAAAGTCTGTCCTTAACATCTTCAGACTGGGCGAGTGTGGGTAGAATTTTCTACAAAATGTTATTGTCCATGAAATCAAACAAAATTAAGACAGGTACTAATTATCTGTAGACAAGCCAACGGAATTATTTTATTATTACTTGAGAAGTCAGTTGTACTACAGTTAAATGTTTATATATGTTTTATTATTGTCGACCAATTAACCAATTTCACTTCTATAAGAGACTGAGTGCAAAATCTGAAGAGTTGACAGTTAAGGAGCAGAGGGTTTCTATTCGTTCACGGTTTGTTTTAGTAAACAGCAATAATCCTAACTTAAATGGGGTTCTATTTTCATTATTTTACAGTTACACTTATTAGTCTAATGGATAAATTTATTTCGGTGCTGGTATACATAGTTTACTAAAGATAATAACAAATCGACATATGATACTGTCCACATTCTTTTCTGGAGGTAAATATACATTAATGATAAAAGGATAAATCAATATATCTGAAAACAATAAAAAAAAAACTCAGTGGTACATGCATGTCTTTCATAGAACAAAAACAAATCACCAATACGTAGGTGGTACTCTTCCGGAAAAACAAGGAAACTGACAACGGAAGTTCGGGCGGACAACTAAAAAAGACATAAACAGAATAACGTAATGTTTTTACTTAAAAATTACATTCCAACTCTGTGTTTAACTACTTTGTAACTGAAAAAATAAAGAAAATTCAGTAGAGAAAAAGTAAAAATAGTACGTCGGAGAACAACCTTCATGCCAATAAAAAAAAATAAGGAAACACAAGGCCTCAATATATTCCACAGGAAACATACGATTGAGTAACATTGACCGAATAAAACTTAATACAATGTGGGAGTCGTATGAATGAAAGACGATTAAGATACAAAGGAATGATTGTTTTGACATTTATTTGCACTTACTACAGTGTAGTATCCTGTTGCTAATATCTATCCTAGGTCATTAGCATTGTCTCTTGCACATGCACGTGAGTTAATACGAGGCTATCGTGACTCAAACTGCGATTTTGGAGATTACTCGATAATTTCCAATTCAGAAAGATCACTGTTTGGGGATATTTAATTTATTGTAACACAGTTCTGATACACTCCTACCTTGTCATTTCTTAAATGAAAAACGTGTTTTGATATCTTAACATTGCAAGTTAAATGTTGTTTCTTCAAGTGAACATGATTGCGACTTTGCAATTCACACAGTTTAGTAATACAGAATTACCTTGTGAAGAAAGATCCAAGCATCATGGTCGTATGTAAGGTGGCCTCCATAATCTGTAGTTAATTCCTTTGGTTCAATTTGTGTAGAAAGCTCAACAAGTGTTTTTACAACAACAGTCTATAAAATAGAACAGTGCAAACTAAGATGAACTATGATACAATGTGCTTTGTAATATTTGTATCCTGTAGTTCTTTGTCGGTGACCCTATGATTATTTTATATCAATAAAAAAGAAATTTATGAAGCAACAATGTATCAAAAATATATACATGTACAATGTTTGTATTGGATTTTGAGATTTTATGAGTTAAGGCAATTTTAATCGATTTTACGTGCTTTCTTTACAAATGTACATGTATATTGAAAAAGTTCATTAAATAATAATAATGTCTTTAAAAAATGGACACTATATATTTTTTTTTCGATATTTAGTTTTAGTTTGACATATCGCAGTTACTGAAGTGTGCAAAATCTTATAAAAATCTGAGACTTGAACCTTTTACCGTTGTTTATTGTAATTTGACCTTAAGTTATCAACTCTTTCAATCACAGTTGATATAAGACGATGTTTTTGTAAGAACCATTTTGATTTTGATATTTTTTGAATATTTTATGTTTTTGTATTTTTAAACTTTTGGTCTCCAGCACACTGGAGTTATTCAAGAAAAAACTCGCATCGTTAACAACAACATTGACATAAAACATCTGTATTACAATGATCCGGATGACCAGCTACACAACAACTAAAACTTCTTGATATATATATATATATGTGTGTGTATACATGTAATTAAAGACCAAACAGCCTATTCAGTTCTACCAGTGATTTTTCCTTAAAATTTTGTGTGAAGGTATTTCATGATTTGAGGAACAAAATATGAGAAAAAAAATTGGGGGTCACCGACTTAGTTTTGTCACTATAGCAACCTCAGTTTCGTGTTTACCCGAATATTAACATGATATTTGCTTGTTATTTAAACTCTCAAAAAATCCCATTATATCAAACCTACAAGCATAATTCTTGTTTCATGTTAAACAGTAGATTTGTGTCTATCAAATACAGGTTCAAGAGTTTAAGACTCTTATTGTTTTGATCTTAAAAAATATGATTTATTTCATTCCCGCCAAAAATAAAACGCAAGAATGAAAAACGTTTCAAGTATTAAAAAATATCTACCAGTGATTTTTTCATAAAAATTTCAAGAAAGAAAGTGCCATGTGTACTCTTCAAAATAAAGCAAAAAAATGTATATGTCACCGACCTTTCAAAAAAGTTATGATTAATTTTCATGTTTTTTTCTCGTTCGTTTTGAAGAAAAGAGTTGTCTTTCTTCAGAACATCGAATCTGACGTCATAGTACAAGTTTTCCTTGCTGGCGCACTGTTTGAAAAAAATTGCAAATTGGACTTTTGAAACCCACATTTAAATTTTCAAGAATCAATAATAACAACTTTATTCACCTACTTTATTATCCGGTAATACGAGAGATCACATGTATGTATCAGTATCAGATCTCATGATGTTGTTGCCGCACAAAATTAACCTTCAGAAACACCATCCGTCGGAATAAAAAAAAATGTTCGAAATAACCTTTTACGACGCTTTAGAAAGGAAAGTATGTTGTTGTCCTCTCTCTCTCTCTCATTAGCAAAATCATTGAAAATAAAAAGAGAAATGAAAGATGACACTGGCTAACTTACAGACTATTTGACTATATTAGACTAGATGTGTGGGTTTTTTTGTCGCGTCAATTTCAGAACTTCGCTCTAGCTCACTCTTTCGCTACTGTTGACAGACGGACAGACATTAGCACGGACGGACTTCTTTATACCATTATGTGTCCCGACTAAGACGAGCGTATGCAAATTATTCCATCTAGTTTGTGGATTCATTATTACTGAATATTTAAAATATAAGAAAATTAAAATTATAGGTATAAAATTTTTAATATATAAATTAAAGTTTTTGATTCTAAAACGTTTTACATCCATTTAACCTATCATAAAATACGATCCCCGTTATTACTACCTCACGTGTTTTGAATAAACGAGACAGTAGATATAAAATACAAATAAGTTTTTATTTCAACAATTGATTTAGAATCTAAGAAATAATTTTCCGTTGAAAACTATAAAGTATTTCTCAAAACAGGATGAAATATTATGAATCTAAATAGCTCATTTTGGAAATTAAAACAAAGACAAGGTTGTATGTATAGATTGCCGGCATTGAAAATCGAAATTTGTTTTCAATCTTTCCGGTCATTGTAGCTTTTTGAAATTGAGAAATTTTATGTTGGATCTTATTCTTGAAGCAATTGTTTTTGTCATAAGTTAAATTTACAACAAGTTTAGTTTTAAAAACCGTAAATTTTTATTTTAATTCACATTCACTGAGTATATTAATTTCTTATATTTTTTGCCGTAAGCTTCTGTGAGATCAGGCGAAATCTTTATCATTTCTCCTTGAGACAATTTGAAATGAATCGAATGACAAAAGACAATGAACCTTTATCATTTTATTTTTACTATAAGATTTTGTCAATTAAGCAGTAAAGATAAAATTTAACTTCATTGCAAGATCACCATTATTTTACGAGAATCTTAAAGAAATAAGTTAATCTCAACATGCATACGTTGCCAGTATATCGAAACTTCTTGAAAGTATTGTTTATCGGCCTAACCTTCTGAAAACTCAGTTTTGAAAATCACATATTAAGTTAAAATTCTAAGCGTAAGTCATATAAATCTACCAGTGTAAAGTTACACGGGCGTACGAGATTTGCGCCGATTTAAAAAAAAATTTCAATCTTTAATTTGCGCCGATTTGATTCTTTCATTAGCGCCTATTTTATTTTTTTATCACTAGCCCCGATACTTTATTTGCTATACGAGTAAACACATGTACATGTAGTAAACCTAGAATGTATATTGCATGGTAATATATGGATATAAATAGTGTTCCCTTATGTTTAAGAAAATTTTGGTCATATTGTTCGAGAACTTCGTTTTGACACAAGAAAGAAAAGATGGACTTCGTTATTGGCAAGTACAACAAGTATAGAAAAGATAAAATGACAAGAAAAAAATATATCAGATGTGTGGCATATAAATTCTCGACAAAATAATAATTCATTGTACTAGTATTACATTTTTATGGATTTTATTGTGGTGCTTTGAAATGCTGTAAATAGAATTTTACTCCGTGATTTTAGTGGATGTAAACAGAGTGCACAAATATCTCTTAAATTGACTTATCCTGCTCGAAATTCTACTCCCACCTCCCCTTTGTGAGCAGGGGACAACAGTTATATACATGTTATAATTGACAATTCATAACATATGTACAACTTGCTAACGGAAGAGGTGTATATGATAAATATGCTTTCACCTATAATCTACCTGTACACAATCGGCGCAAATGAAAGACAAAATCGGCGCAAGTGATGAAAGAAAAATATGAAATGCAGATCGGCGCAAATGCAAAAAGCCGAGTTCAAAATTTATATTTTTATTATTATTTTTATTAGAACGGAGGTTACAGATAGTGTAGTATCTTTTGTGTTCATTTGTATTTAATTTCTTCTAGGTATCAGTGCGACGCTTAATTCCACTTTTCTTGGCAGACGTAGTTTTTTAAGCGTACACCATGTTGAAATCCGTGAAAAACGCGAAATAGGACGTTATAATTTGACGTTTTTTTCATGGCTAGAAACAACGTCATAGAGCTTTTATGTCACTACCAAGTTGCGTTAGTTGATGCGCATCAACAATAGGCTGTTTGGTCTTTAACTTCAAACTTGAATTTTACTACATACAGTTAACTTTGTGTTATCTAGAATATTAATGTAATTTCCATTTAAAACTTTAACGTTTTGACTGTATTTAGTGTAACACAAGAATATTGAACTAAAGATAATACACATGTTAATTAAAATGATAAGTTTTGACACAGTTCTACTTCCGACTAGAAGCTACAACAAAATAAAAAATGAAGCAATTAGGAGTAGTCATGCAAATACCATTAACTGGAAATATATCAGAACTTTAGATAGGATATAGTACACTTTGAGTGTTCATAGATTGTAAAACGAACTATGACATTTCCAACATGGAAGTATAGGCGTCCAATAAACTATGTAAAATACCAAAGTATCAAAGAATGAAATATAAAGTTGCACTATTATAAAGAAAACCGAATTTATTATTGCTTCTCTCTCCAGTACTTTCAAACGACAGACATATTATAAAAATTAAGCCATGTAAGATGTAAGGTCAATTCCTATATTTAAATTTAATCTAAAAGATACATATTCTCTATGATATTATAATCGAAGTTAAACACGAACAAGTAAGGAAATGTTATTTTATTCTCTGACGAAGCGAGTTAACTCCAGATAAACCCAGATACTAAGTTTAAAGTATTATAATTGCTAAGTTGATTAAGATGTTTTGGATGATGTTGCTTAAGTATCCTGGAATCTAGTCTCCACGTATCTCATAAAGTTTTCTACAATTGTACATAATAATTGAAATATTTTTGTAGAATATACGTTTATCATAATTTGTTTAGCCGTCTGTCATTCTGGACTTGAAGTTACTTCCACAGAGTTAAAAAAGTAACCCATCATATCATTTTCTTAGGTCTTTAATGAAGAATCTAGTTATATCAAAGCTATACATGCACTACACATACTCCTGAGGTGCACAATTCTTTATAATTACATCGGGGAAATGATATAAAAGGAAGGGTCTACCGTTTAATTTGAACAGGAGTATCTTGAAATAACGTAAGGAATCTTTATTCTGACCACATTATACATAATTCATGACCACACTAACCATAAATAACTCCACATATCAAAGGGGGGACTCCACATATCAAAGGGGGAAACTTAATTATTGCTTAGAATTATGGAAATGTTTCATTATACGTTTCTGTTCAATTTGTTGCCTGTGTATTGAGATGATATGTGATCTTCTTATTCCTGAATATCTATGATATACATATGAAGTGTGTTTATTGCATTAATTTTGTATGATAAAACATAACACGGTGCAGTCTCTTAAGAATGTTCTATACTTTGCCTTTCTACGTTACATGTTAATCATCGATCAGTTTATTTTTGTTAATACTGCAGATCAGTTTATTTCATTATACATGTACCTAATACTTTCTTATATCCCGATGTAATACAACATAAAATCTTACTTTAAACTGATTTCCAAACGTAACTATATCCTTCCGCTGTGATTTCAGACCTAGTAGTCTTTTCAGAAGTCTTGTCTTGCTTCGTGACTTTGGTTTGACAACATAGAAGGCTGCTACAGCTCCTCGGCGTTCAATCTGTAAAATTAAAGAACCTTTGTGAGCACGCTCACATACCCCATACCCCCACATTGTCACTGGGCAAACAAAATCTCACAAGATTCAGAAGTTCAAAGACTCATCACTTATACAAAAATGTCAACTGATAAGAATTTTTTGTGGACATGCACATCTATTGTCTTTATTGTCTACAAAGTTTCATGAAATTCTGTTGTGTGGTTTCAAAGAAGTTGCGATGACAAACTGTTATGGTAGTTTATTTCGTCCAATATTCTATGTTCAAAGGGGCATAACTCCTAGATGAAAGTTGAATCATAATTTCCTGTCGATATGCACATGTACATAGTATGTCCTTATTATCTACAAAGTTTCATGAAATTCTGTTTTGTGGTTTCAGAGGAATTGCGATGACAAGAACAGGACTGACGGACAGACTGACGGACGGACCGACTGACGGACGGACGGACGGACGAGTCTAAAACATTATACCAAACGGACTTTTGTTGCGTGGGGTAAAATAAACTATAACTACACGACTACAGGAATATCAACTCTTCTGCTATTTAGTTTGAAACTTTATCATGCACTTGACATATTTTAGTACGAAACAAATATTAAAGTCTTTAGCTCGAAATCTGTAGTGATCAAATTGGTTAACGATATGTAAACAATGTCAAAAACTATATATCACAATGTTATCATTTGTAGTTACGTGGAATAGATGCATCCAAAATGAAGTACTGTTTCTTAGGTAACTATATTGGAATATAATTCTATTTCATTTACAATTTTTTTAATAAACAAACTTTCATTTTCCTTTATATATGTGTACAAAGTGCATGTGTATCTCTTTATATTTCTTAAGATAAGTTGTCGAAGTAGACCAACGCAATAGGTAATCCATGTCCAATAGATAAGACAGATTACAGAATGAAAAATATTTAGGTTCAAAAACAATTATTATGATATTCACCTCTAGATGTTCCAAAGCTTTAACCACCTCAGTTATAACATTCTCATTACATCCCTGTCTAAAATTTGCCACAAAAGCAGCACTTTTCCTCTTCATAACTAAGAAAATGACATCCTGTAGATATACAAGGTATTTACATGCGCCCTCAAGTTCCCAGTCTTTGTTTTCTATTGCACTATGTAAAGGAAATGTAACTAAAGGATTCCCAGCTAAGTCTGTACCACCTTTAATACAAATAAGAGTGAATAACAACATAGGTTAGTATACATGTAGATCAATAAAACAGCAATCCAACACACAAAAAAACAAACAAAAAGACATTTGGAGGTCAATATTATATGGCAAACAATAGATTAGTGTCAATAGTATATTTATGTAAAGTTCTAAATTGTCGCAAGTCGAGACGATTTGTAAATAAATTATAACACTCCTTAGGTAGGGGTTCGAGTCTTACTCTGGTCATTTGCAAAAATATGTTCCCTGGACAGAAAAAGGTCCTCTTATTTGCATTGAATACGTTGACATTACTTACATCGTCTGACTGTATTCTTTTTTTCAATTTTTAACTATTGTTTTAGTGTAATTGCGTTTTGCCGTGTGTATTAAAAGGACCTTGCCATTATGGGTAATTATTGTGCGTTTATCGTGTAGATTCTGTTCCTCTCCAACGCAAGAACATACATTAAGGGGGTTGATGTCTCACAAAACTTTAAATGATAACAAATAAACATAGCAAAATTATGTATCTATTCGTAAAACGGGAACCTCGCAAGTGGTTGCCCTTGTTTAATGCATTTTGTTAATTTAGGACTTTGGTGTCTAATATAAAATTTTAGTTATTTCTGTTGAATTCTTTCACAAGTTGTCTGCACTCAGTTGTTTTACAATCTGGCATATTGTCTGGAAGTTTGGCTACCTTGAGTACCGTGTATTGACTTTTAGATGTTATTTAGGCTTGCTTTCATGTTGGGCTTTCGTATCACTGACTTTCTTTCGTGATTATCAAAATAAGTCTGGTACCTAAAGCAGAGGAAACATATAGATGTGTGCAAAAACAAAATATTAATTGCATTTACTGCAGACAGAAACTTTTGGTATTTAACATACTAGTATTACTTATGATAATTAAATAAATTAAAAAATATCAAAACGCTGTTAAAATCGTCACTGTAAGTTATTGTCAAAAAATTGTTGTGCAAAATAAATTCCAGTTAAATAAATTTATAAATATATATAATTAGAAAGTCCTGTAAACTGTATGTACTGAGTAATCTTAATAATTTGACCTTGGTCCACTACTATTAACATATTTCAGTTGAAGATGTTGTTATCATAATCATATAAAATAGTCGTTATCAATCATCCAATTTGGATAACTAGACAAGACTTTACCGAGGAATGAATAAATATTTACTTGTTTTCAACTTATTTCACCTAAATGGGGAAATAAATATATATATCAGATTCAAATATTTATACATCTATTCTTCTTACATAAGTAATTACATCCCGGATAAGAAAGTAAAAATTCTAAATTCCAATTATATAACTAGAAGATAAATCTAAATATTGTTGCACACATACTTAGAAATGGCGAATATGTACATGTTTACATCTTTTTCGATACCATTTTGGTTGTCGATTATGAAAAGGGTTATGGTTTAAACAGACATTTTTATGAACTATGTGAATATGCATGGCACAAAGGCTGCAGTAGTTCTTCAAATTTGAAAATGATTATTTAATTGTTTTTTTTGTTTAACTTATATTGTTGGGTTGATCTCTTATTGATATTTAACTAACATCTCATTATATTCATATACATAAAATTAGTGCCGATACAAGTAATTATGATAGAAAAGTAATAAAAAAAATGCAAACAATCGATAAAAAAATCTAACTTTTACCTGAAAGAATGGCGATCTGAGAATTGAGTAGTCCCGGTTCTATTGCTCCGTTCTCACGCTGCATCCTCTTGGTGGAGGCTTTCCTGTAGAAGAAATTGTTGTTTACACTAGTTAACCATGAATCATGTATTTCATAGCAATTAATTAAACACCTTTGTGCAATTTATTTACATGGTATTTGATATATTTTGTAGGGATATAATTCATTTGCACAATGATCTGGGTTTATTGTTATTCTGACTGTCTTTGATTAATAAAATATTCTAAAATTGTAAAAGACAACCAGAATCATGACGAGAACAAGTCATATTATTATATACATGCAATACTGGCAAGCGTTTCTGGAAGGCATAAGTTGCACCTAAATGTTGCTTTTAAAGGACGCGGGAAATACCCAAGAGACAATCAAATATCTTAAGTCGAATAGAGACCAACAACACATGCCGAAAAACTTCAAAACGACAAACATCATTCTGCAATACACAACCTAGTAAATAAAGACTGAACAACACAATTCCTACCACACCGGGGATGATATCATGTGCTTCGGAAGGGTAAACAGATTCTATCGAACATGTGCCATCCGTCGTGTTGCTCATGGTAAGTTAAAAAAAGGAAAAGATTCGGTGAAAAGTCTTATTATGTGATGTAACAATCGATGAAAAATTAACATTTAAAATCTGTTGTTGATAACAGATCTGGGTTGGTCCTTGATAAATGTAATAACAACTTTTCCATATTCGGGACGATTTAACTTCACGTTCTGCTATTTAGATAATGTCCACTCATTAAATAATTCAAAGTTTGGTGACTATGTTGAACGCATCTATCCAATTGAACTTGAAATAAAGGGGATACCACAGAAACTGTTAAATTTAGTCTGTCTCATATCTAAACTTACATCTAGAAATTGACAATGAGGGTAAAACTTTACGACAAAAGAGATGAGTTCAGCTTCCCAATTGTGAACTTTTCATTTCTATGTAGCAACTTTCCAGCAGCGCCTGCATATGGAGAATATCCCCTTGGTATCTTTCGCTTCTCTTTTAAAGCTTGACAAACGTGTCTAATGTTGTAGGCCGTATGTTGACCTCTAACTCTCTTTTTTTGTTTGATCGTTTTGTGACTGTCCCATTGACGTATTTTCCACATTTCTTTTTAGTCATTCGTGATTGTAGAATCTATCCATAGTTTTGTTATATATTCTACATTCGGGGTAATATTTTACGAATATATTGCCTACCCATGGTGATATTTACAACAAACCATGTGCAGTTATGCACTACAATGTATTTTCTAACTGATTAGATATCTGTTGATAAGTCAAATTGTATATGCAGCTTTTTCTTGTGTAACAAGAGAAATACAAAAACGGCATTGTATCCACAAACAATTATATAATTCTATAATGAATGTGACAGAATATGAACATTTTATCAATTCATAAAATTTATGTTGCCCCCTAGTACGTCTATCAGATTTTGTTAAATTGTCCTTTGGAACTTCTACTAACCCCAATTAATTTTATATAGCATTGTTAATATAGCTTTTTTTCGTCTATTATGTAAACTTTCCCATTGTAAAGAATTTATCATGTTGGAAACTGCTCCCGGTGTTCTGCCTTTATAATCGTTATAGACAAATATGGCTGCTTTACGCTGGATCTGCTCAACCTGAGTGATGTGGTGCTTTTTGTACGGATCCCAGACAGGGGAAGAGTATTCGACGACTGGACGGACAAGTGACCTGTACGTAATGTTTTTAACCTTACGTGTGCAGTTTTTCTACGAAGAAAACCTAAGGTTTTATTTGCCTAGCAGGTAATATTATTTATAAGTGTTCCCCAGTCAAGATCAGGGCTTATAGTTACACCTAAGTATTTACTGTCTTTTACTGATTCTAAAACATGATTATGCAACATATAATCAAAAGCAGAAGGTTTATTTTTTTCAGAAATATGTATTACATAACATTTTTCAGGATTAAAATTCATTTGCCAGTCCTGTTTCCATTGCACTAAACTAGATAAATCTTTTTGAAGTAATTGTGCATCAGAGTTATTATTCACATTTCTATACAATAAGCAGTCATCTGCAAAAAGTCTTGCATTGCAAGTTACATGTTCTGGTAAGTCATTAATACATAGTAAAAATAACGTCGGGCCTAATACTGTTTCCTGAGGAACACCAGGGTCAACAGCTAATTTAGAAGATTTTTACACCATTTAAAAGTACCTGATGTTGCCTGTCAGATAAAAAATCTGTTATCCAATTTAAGTTTTGATTCCTAATACCGTAAAAATCTAATTTTTGAGCTAATCTTTGATGGGGGGCTTTATTAAATGCTTTAGAAAAATCTAAAAGTATAACATCTATTTGATTGCCATTTGCCAATGATTTTGCTAGATCAGCCTGGGTGTAAATTTATGGCTAGTTTACTTTCGCTCGTTACACACATATGCAAAACCTATCATATTAATGCTAAGTATATGATAAATTTATTTATAAAAGTAAGTAAGTAAGTAGATCATTTATTATAGTGACATGTGTATATATTACATATTGATAAATTAATACAATAATTATTATAAATTACACCGGCCTATTGGACCTATAAGTCACTTTAAACTTAATGTTCATATTTTCAATAAGCAATCTATATATAATATTGTTTTTTTATACATAACAACGTATAAATAAACCTATACATTTCAAAATTTTGATATCGAGTATAGTAAATGAATATGTACTTATTTTGTACGTAATGTTTTGGCCTCAAGGATCACTGAAGATAACTTAAGCATGCACCGAAATGCGCATCTGGTGCAGTAAAGTTGGTACCGTTAATGTTATATCAAAGACTCACGAAAACTAAGTTCAACACTCTGACACATTTATAATTAAAGTGCTTTGGGTGTTTTATAATGTGCGTTATAAAAATAAGAAGATGTGGTATTGTTGCCAATAAGACAACTCTCCACCAGAGACCAAATGACGTAGAAGGTTAGCATCTAGATGAAATTTACCTAGATACTTACACTCAACAGGATCATGATACTCAGTACCAATATCATTATGTTCGATACACTACAATCATGTCAACCATTTGACCAATTATGGCTTACCAAAAACCCTCTCTCTAAACAATTATTGTACTTTTAAGATAACAGTTAACTTGGTCACCCTATCTTTCAGCATATAAATAAATGGAGATATTAAGTATACGCCAAGCAAAATATATTTAGAGAGCAATATGCTGTCTTCAACAATATCAGGTGTCTTTTACATTAGGTCAATCTGTAATTCGTTCAGAGTCTATAATAGATGTCAATAAATTGAACAGACGCTATAGAATACCTGCAATCAATCAAATTCCCCAAATAACAAAACAATAAGACAGATATAAGAAAACCACTGACAAGGTTTCTTACTTTGCCCGGTATCTTAACCATTGGCTAGCAAAGATGATAAATGAATATGTGATGGGGTTAGTCTTTTTTCATTTCGATCCTCTCCATTTTATCTCAGTTAGTAGACCAATAATGCTATAAGATTTACATGCCTATGAAATTATATGCAGATGTGTTGCTGCACTGTTTACCGTTTTACAGTGTCAGTTTTGCAACATGAGGGTGTAACTAGATTGATGTTTAAGATACTATTGGAAGTGTATCTTTTAAGCCACCAGTCCTTCTTTATCCGTCACCTTTTATTATAATAACTGCTTTTTTCACAAGTTTTAAGTACCGGTACTCTATATAATACTAGTAAGCCATGAACTAAGGACATTAGATTTTATTCGGGATCTTGAGTGTTTATATTCCCTGTAGAGCCCGAATAACAATTGCATTATACTGGAGTGTCCTGATTTCAACATTTATTGGTCTTCGGGTTTGTTTTTTTTTTTTGTAACAGGGATATGGGCTCATATACCCTGTCAACGGAACCAATCATATTACCAGATTAGCCGGGATATTTCACTCCAGTATAATATATTATTAAGTATAATGGTTTAAAGGTTTCTCTTTTCGTGATTCATAAAGTACTGGCTATTTGTTGAAATATCGTGTTTAACCTTTGGCAATCATTGTCATAGATGTATATATTTGTTTAGGGGCCAGCTGAAGGACGCCTCCGGGTGCGGGAATTTCTCGCTGCATTGAAGACCTGTTGGTGACCTTCTGCTGTTGTCTGTTCTATGGTCGGGTTGTTGTCTCTTTGACACATTCCCCATTTCCATTCTCAATTTTATTTGGTGCCAAATAAAAAAAATCAATTTGTATTACCTGTAGGCTTAAAATGCTGTTTCTCATATTTGCCAGGGTTTTATTTCTTAGGGAGATGTTGGAGGGTGGCTTATGAATTTAGAAATTACCAAATGTATAAGTATATCATTATTATTACTTTTGTTGTTGATGATGTTGTTCAAGTGGTCTCCCAATATATCATTTTTATATGCGCTTTCTTCGTTATATTTTCGAGACGCATATTGTGTATTTCACTCTTATTCAAAGGATAATAAAACTTTGACGTTATGATCTCGTTTTGTTTAAAACGACAAATGATTAATTAAATCGTTTAACATAATTCCCTGAAGGATAGGTCACAAAAATTCTTCTTTCTTTTTAAGAAATATATTTATGTGTGACGTCAAACTGTAAACTATTTTGACAATTTCTGTATTCATTCATATTATCTGTCAAATACCAATTTAATAGACACGTTAGGCTTACCAATTTTGTGTAGAAGGTGTAAGAAATGATTAATAAGGTTGCATTTAAACTTCTTGAAAAAATAAGAATTTTACACATTTGCATAAAACTAAAAATTCAGAGGTATTTCTTAACATTTAGATAAAATATGCAACTTGGTAAAATCAACATACTACCACATGTAACAGCAACCAACATGGAAGCTGTCAAATACTCATTATGGAAGGCGTGCTTCGATGATCGCCATATTCCTTTCTATATGTTTATGGAATAATTACTTCCTTTACGAGAAAACGAAACCCATTTGAAGATCAGCGCAATGTTAAAGACTTCAGTGCATTGAGTTTACTATATAATTTATATATATATAAGTTCGACCTGTATTGTCAAGGTTTGATAAACAGTTTTAAAAAATGTTGTATTTAACAATATACGATTTACTTGATGAATGCGTAGCCATCTATTATAAGTTGTTTTTTAGATGCATCATCATGAAATTTAGTGATTTCAAAACTGATGGCGAGAATATCTAATATAAAGGGTAAGAGCTGGGAACTGTCATGTCCTATAGATTACAGTGAATTCTAAATAAGTCTCGTTTTTAATTTTTAATGTTAAAATCATATTAGTGGATTAAATTCCAGGAAAATCAAATTACTAATATTTAAAAGTCCATACCTGCTTCCACGTTTCATATCTGTCCTATTTTATTTCCACTAAATATTTGATATCTTCCTGATCAAAATTTTACGTAGTACAACACCACCACAAACATGACAAAAATCGCCCCATTGGTTACAGATTATTATTTGATGGTAGTAAATAATTGTCCCTACGGGCACCTGTAGTTATTACCTGTAAACACTAATTTTATTACCTGCTAAGACAATATACATGTGTATATGATGTGTATTAGCACAAACAAAAATGACCACAATAATTTTTACAATAGATCTCATGAAAATAATTGTGACAGAGAAACAAGAGCTTCTTTGAATAGGCTGTCTTATGTTGCTATATATATAAGAGTAAGGAGATGTGGTATGATTGTCCAAACTTTTCACCAGAGTCCAAATAACGTGGGTGAAAGCAACAATAGGTCACTGTATATATAATCCTTAGACAAGTTTTCTTTGTTAAATATTTGATATTTCCTTGTACTCCCTAAAACATACAGATTATAGTCAAAGACTACTGAGTACCAGTGCCGCTTCATTATTTGATGTTTTTTTAATAAATAATGATTATTAAGACACTAAGGTTCCAACTCGCTGAGACAAAATTGACCTTAGATGAATTAAGCCCCTTTTCATTATATCACTCCTTATGTTTCTACGTATTTATACATACCTGGCTTTTACATGTTTAGGGTTGAGCGTTCCTGGTGAAGGTACATTTGGAAAAGAGCTTCGGACGCACGAAATTTATAAAATATAATTTTTATTTAATAGCAAAATTGAAGTATTATTTTTTTTTACAAAGTTGAGAAATAACTAGAATGTTTTGCATTTTTAGTAAGGTCAGTGAGAAGAAACAAAAAAAAAACCAGCTGATAAGAGATTTTTCTTAACCTAAAACAGAAATGGGGGACAAAAAGATCTCAGGTTTACTTATAAACGTTTTCTCAAGGCCTGTTAGCATTAGGTCCTGAATTGATAATTATTCGATTCGTACTCGCAATCACCAGTTATTTGCGAAGTGCGAATCAAGATATTATTGTTAAATGACCCATTGCAATTGGTCAATTCCTTGCTTCACACTTGGTAAGCAGTGTGACTTATGAGTTTGACAACTTGAAAACTATAATAGGCAAGAGAAAAGGTAAGCCGTTGTGAGTCGGAAAAAAGTCGAAATTGTATTGCATGTAAATCAATATGTTCTAAAAACGCCAACGGGTAATTAGAAAACTTCAGATAACTTGTTTACAAATGTCTCGACAAGTTTAGGTGTTTTTACATAATTGTTATTGCCTGAATATTCAGAAATCTTAAAAAAAAATGCAATATCAATAAAAATTTTATGACACAAATTACTCAATGTTCTAAAAAGATGTCGTCAAAGGCTAATACAAGGATTTGATTACTTTACCTTTTGTATTCTTGTAAATATTGCACATTTTTGATAATGCATGGTAATGCTACAGTAACTGTTACAAATCTGTTATGCATATTGTGAAAAAATATTAATTCAGTTAATAATTAACCTAATAATACATTTACAAGACCCACGCCAATCGGATGACAAGAGATCGAACACCGATCTGTCATGTGTCAATTTTATGTTTATAGAAGTTGTTAATGTGATATATTGACAAATTCCATCATATTTTATGTTTTCACTTAGCAAATCAGGTCATTTACGTTGATTTCATGTGGTTGTTGGAAAATGTATCTTCGTAAGCAGGGTAGTAGCTGCATCTTGTTTCATTTTACTGTGGTTATCATACAAAAGTCAGACAATAAAGCGCGAGAATATATTCTAGTAAGTACAATGTTGATACATGTACATCAATCTGATTAAAATTCATATCTATCGTAACTCGCGTGCTCTTATATATAAGGATAATTATATGAGGATAACGAAATCAAAGATCAATATTTTAATAAGATTGCATGTACATGTACAATTGATATTCAAATTGAATTTCAAAGATTGAGAGGTGTCAGTGCAATTTGAAATGTTTTTAATAGAGTGATATGATATGATGAGATCTCATGATACAGATGATTGGCCCATAAAATTGAGTTATGCGTTTTTTTAAGAATTCAGGGCTATTTAAAAATGCAGTGACATGTACCAGTAGACTACCATCAGAAACCGTCACACATTACATTTATGGAATCTACCAAATTATTTGGTAACTAGTTTTCTTTTTATGAAAATATCATTACAAACAGCTAAGATTTCCACTCGCTAAAATGATGATCATATATAGAAATAGGACTAGACGTCAGTACCCGCTGGTGCAAATGTACCTCATTCAACATGTTCAATATTATGTTTATTATGTTGAATCAGGTTCGTTTAGCTTGATTTTTGATGATTTGCTGCTTGTTAATTGATTTACTTGAATCAACTCAAAGAAAAAATGCATAACTGCAAACAAAAATTGTATTCACTTAAAAAAAAAGTTTCTAAAATGCTAGTTTTCACTGTTCTCACACTTTTCTATTTCTCAATCTAATTAAAATATTCATCTCTGATTTCGTTATCCTCATCTTATACATACGAGAACGCAAGTTAAGATAGATCATATTGTTTTATTTCTATGAGATTCGAGGCTATGCATTAATAAAACAACCCACTCACTTTAAATAGTAAAAATAAAATAAACAAGCGTCCACATCATTTGAAAATAAGGAGATGCGGTATGATTGTCAATCAGACAACTGGCCAACAGAGTAGCTATAACTAGTCCCAAGTCTATAAACAACTTAAATATGTAATTCAAATTACAGAGATTAAAAAAAATATTTAATAGAAATTAATACTTAAGTCTCAAACAAAATATGAAAGTACTCAATGTACGTATATTTGTAGTGTAACTACACAAGACTTTTTTTCTAATTTGTTCAATTTTGTCCTCAACACATATAGACTATACTGTAAGGCGACTAGTTGTACGTGTAGATAAAGGCCATGTAAAACGACATCAAGATGTTCAATATGGGTTTAATATTTCTATAGTAGCATGGTATAATATAGCTAGTGTCTGTCATAAAATTGTCATATGTTGAAGCGTATATTATAAGAATTAAAAATTTGATGTGGCGGCATGGTAAGTAACATTATCATCCTAAATTTACGTCATTAACTGTGTTACCACCCTTGATAAAGCCGACTAGGAAAGGCATTACTGGACAAACGAAAGATATATTTTTAAATAACATAGTTGGTTGAGTGTTCTAGGGCGCTGGACCCAATGCAGGCGGTGTTGCTACGATATCACAGAAGCAAGGGGTTCGAATCCCGCTGAGGAAGAAAAAACAAAAAATTTGCAAACGCAAATTTGCATATCTAACATTGTTGATCTAAATTTGAGAAGTATTATATGTATTTATGTCTTTATCATTTTAAGATAGAACTTAACCTTCACTCTATTATCTTCATTAAACTGATTGTGACAAGTGAAGTTGACTTCGACACGTTTTGTGCCAAAATGAATTTATTTTGGCAGATTTGTTTTATGTGCTTACTTTTAAAGACTGTAAAATCTACATTCAAAAGTGAAGACCTGAAGAGCCGACTGAGCGACCCAAATAGTACAATACTATTGGAGCAAGTAAGGCAGTTAGATGAAATATTAACGACTAAATTTCATTCAAAATTCAAGCCGGAAATGGAAGATAAACACCACCTTCAGTCACAGAAAATCAATGAAGTCGAGGAAACTCTTCTACAGCAAAAGAAAGAAATCAATCGTTTGAAACACGTGGAGAGAACTTTGTTAAAAGAACAAAAGAAGACAGCAAAACTTATAGAAACTGTTGAGCGTTTAACATTCATGTGCAACATATACCAAAAGAACAGAAGCACTAACCATTCTGATTTTTTCCGCACTAAAATGCTTCAACAATTTGAATCTGATGCCATTTTTGGACACTCCAATCTTAGAAACCAAAGCAAAGAGGGCGACAAACTCAGTAATGTTGAAGCGGGAGAAAACATAATGATTGTTAACAATCATAAGCGAGAAGAAAATGATGATACGGGTAAATAGAAATAAGGTTCTGCCTTTTTATATTCTTTACATTGACGTTTTTTTCTTCTTCACATGTATGGCATTGAACTTGAAGTATTTTATGACAACATCAACCAAAGCTTTAATTTTGAGAGAAATTTTGAGTAGTAAAGAATATGTACATCAACCAGGTTGTGTCAACACTCGAATAATTCAATTTTTACATTTTATGTAAGCTGAAGGGGATTGTTTTAGATAATATATTGTACAAATGGATAATATGCAGCCATAATGCAGGTCCTTTTATAACTGGTTATACAGTATGTGTTCGGCTTCTTATTGAATGCCGTATAATGACCATTAGTTGCTCAAATCCACCGTCATTTGGACTTTGGTTGATAGTTGTCTTTTGCCAATCATACCACATCTTCTCATTTTTAGATAAGTATAATAAGTTAATTCCTCCATCGAAATCAGCGAAGTAAGTCATATGATGAGATATTTTCTTGCATCTTTCCTATTGATCATCGAACAGTTACGAGAGTAAACTAAACCACTACAAAAACGGTTTAAGTTTTTGAACAATAATTTTTATTTTTTATTTCAGTGTATTTGCAACAACGTTTCTAAAAGTATTTGGCTTTTTTATTATTGTTTAGTGGTAAGGCTTTCTCTTCATTTAAGGAAAAAATGCAACCTATGAAACATTACTTAAAACACATTTGATCTAAATTGACCAGATCTGGTTTACTGATTTATATTCTGGAACAAAATGATAGTTTTTAATCATATCTCATTCTTGAGCAAAAGAGAGAGAATAAATCCCATTATTTTGATATCTTTTCCACTTAATTTGGGACTAGCACTTAAACCAAAACAGTCCTTTTATGTATTGTATTATTCTAAAGTGAGACTGAATGACCATGAAAGGGATTAATTTTAATGTAACAATGGAATTTTCAAAGCAATATGTGACAATACTTGATGGTTAATATGGAAACAGGTGTCGTCTTCACTAAAAATGTTAAATACGTTTATTGTATTAATCCAAAAAGTACAAACGATGTATGTGAACGTGAATACATTATATGTCTGATAAGTAATCTTAAAGCCATATCAAAAAGATGAAACTTATCACTTGA